GGGCTGTGACAAACTGTTTCGTCGGAGTTTCACCGACTCATCAGGAGGCTGAACCCTCAACAGTCTGTAGAATCCCCTCACTGATTACACTGTAAGTGATAATCCACCTTAACCAAAATCAAAGTAGACTATCACTCAGCCATGACTAATAATTTTTGATTTGAGAGACTGTGCAGGTTCCGCAGCCACGGCCAGTGTGATCAAGACAACACAACGACAGTAACTCCGCAACATCCACAAGGCAACAAACGAGAGGCAAGTACACAAGGGCAACCAGCATCACACAATCAAACAGCCAATGGTTAGCTGTTGCTAATCCCGCTGTCTGCCTGCAGATGCCTGTGTGACCAAACAGATGCCCTGGCACGTGGCACTACAGCATAGTCTGATGCTGTACCGCCCGCCAGGCTGGACATGTGCAAGGTATTCCACTTCAGCCCAACCTTGCTTTCCTCGCAATACGTCACTCGAGAGACTATGTGGTCTACGGAAGCAGTACTATGAGTGACACATCAGCAAGACATACTGCCACATCAACACCACATTGGCTCCACAAAGCCAAGTGCTACATCAGCAAACTTGTGCCACATCAGCTCGTCATGGCCCTCCAGAGGCCATGTCAGATACGGGTCCCGCCGGATCACGTCAACTCTGGCTGCCACTTGGAACCGTAACCTCTGCTTCTTGCAGCGGATTATCAATGGGAAGGCGCCACGTCACTGTAGATGCTTCGCTGCTCCTCCCGGGACATTGTCGTGTTGCAGGAGATACCTCGCTGGCCTTCTATGGGCAATGCCACGTCAGCAAGTGTACCTCGCTCTCTCTGCTTGAGAGTGCGATGTCAGCACCTTTGCATGGCTTCTTGCCAGAAAAGGAGAAATACAATGGCAATATGCCTGCCACATCAGCAGGCAGCTGCCAATACCAGAACCACACTGATGTTCACGTCGACATCTGCAACTTCTCTGCACTGGCGCCATTTCAGCAGCTGGTGTCGACGGTAAGTATTCTCCCTCCTCCCCTCCACGTCAGCACTTCCCTTCACACAAGTCTCTCGCTGACCAGTGCCACGTCAGCAAATCTCTCGCCAACTGGCACTGGTCTCTCCTTGTCGGCCGATAATAAAGCAGCGATATAATAGACAATGCCGCTCTTCTTCTTCGCGGCCGACTCTTCAACAACTCGTCATCATCTTCATCAATGTCATAGCCAGCAGGTGACGAAGTAGGAGGATTATGCTCTGATACCAAATTGTAATGAACCCAGTCCGATGAGAAGCTCAAACATACCGTGATGCATCTGATTCAGCGCAATAATGCTGTCTCCAAAAATCGATTATATGTCCAAGTCAAAGTACACGAAATCTCTCATTATCCCGTAACCCAAAGAAGAGAATGAGAATCGAGGGGTGGAGAGTGACGCGCTAACGCTGAACCGGTGAGCGCCTCCACAATGCGCTAAGCCCGTCCACGAACCGTCGCGGCAACTCACTTCCCGCGGGAAACCGCCACGCGCACGGCTCCGCGCGCGTTTGTCATCCAAATTTGAATCCGCCAAGGTGGTAGGCTAGGGGGAGATCGAGCGACGACACGTCACGCCACGCCTCCGGGCGTGGCCACCCTAGGCGAGGAAACGGGCCGTTGAGGACAAGGAAGAAAGAGGGAGAAGGAGGAGAAGGAGGAGAAAAAGAACAAGAACTCCAGGGAAGGAGGGGGAGAAGGGGAGAAGAAGGAGAAAGGAAGTCCCCGGAAGAAGAAAAGACAAAGGAAGCAAGAAAGGCGACGAAAAGTGGGTGGTGCACAAATCTTACCTACAATAGGAGAAGGGCAAGCAAAGAGGGTACGCGCAAGGAATCATCACAAGCGGACAGAGATAGAGGCGCACCAGCCATTGCCGCACCATTAAGTATCCCAAGGTTTGAGCTGGCCCTAAACCCCAAAGGTAAGATCAAACGACCTGTCCACCGACCCCTTCGTACGCAAGGGGCACAAGGAAGAAGGCATCACGACAAGCGAAAGGACAACACTCAAGAGGAGAGGAACGACGGATCTTCGAACTACGGAACAAGGGGAATAAAGACGACGACGCTACTACTTCGGGATAACACTATTTTAGGAACGTAGACACGACACAAAATCCCGCGTTCCGGCGGCAGTAACCCTTTCCCAAAGCACGATAGGATCAGGACAAAGCATCAGCCCGGACAAAGCATCAGCCCAAACACCAGGGGGAAAAATAGGAGTCGAAGTCGGCCATCATTAGAAACAGGATTACAGTAGCCAACACTATCACCTAGGCCGAAGCTCCTCTTCTCGCCCCTACTCATCTCCAACCCGCTGAAAGAAACGAAGCCTAGGTGGACTCTAACCCAAAGGTAGCCGGAACACGCGGTCCCGCCCACCCCCTAACGCTCGCCCTCGCTCGCCTCCACCAACCTCCACTTTCCCCCTCACCTCAAGGACAGCCTAACACTCACGTTTTCCGCACTGCCCACCCGTGCACTCTGCCCACATCAATCCGTCGGCTTCCATCCCGCTCCCACTCCCTCCTTTCTCCGTTTGCCATCCCATCACCACCCATCGGATCTTGAGAGTCCTGTTAGGTCCACACAAGTAGAGGGAGACCAAAAATTTTCGGTTACTCACTCAAGTTTCCCTCCTACTTACCTTTCTTTTATTTTTTTACGGATCGCTTTGACATGTCATCAATCTGAACATAGCACGTGGGTTTAGGTTACTTATTTATCTACTTACCTTAATTATTATTTTTATTAATTAACACGTAATAGTTGGTCTTAGTTGTCATTCGAGCTCTTATTAATCCGCTCTTCGCCCACACCGCCACAACAGACGTCCCAATCCAATTGATCAGGGGTTGGGTACTTCGAAGAAAACCTACCCCATGTACCTTCTCTTCCGACCCCGGACCACCATCCCATCCATGCTATCGCCCCTCTACCTCCGCCCAAACCAACACCCCCCAACCACACCCTCCCTCCCCGCCCACCATCCTCCCCCGTATACCTCTCGATCAATCTCGGTACGCCACGATCCGGTACAAGTCCCGACCCCCACCCCTGACCGGCAAAGCTACCCCCCCCCCCCCTACCGATTTGTTGGAGGATGGCGATCTCTTACCTCCAAGCGGCCAGGAAGGCACTGTCGCAACAGGATCTAGCCCAAGCAGATTCCAATTCAAGCCCAGGGAACCCGACAGCTCAAACGACAAAGAACTCAACCCATTCGGCTGCCCAAGGAACACAGAGAACCACAACAACATACAAATCGTTGGGACAAAGGGCGTTAGCCTTTCTGATGAGCAAGACAGAGATTAAGGCGGAGATAACTAAAACAAAAGAAACAATCAAAGATGGAAATGGCCAGGAAGTTGAAGTCGAAGTGTGGGAGTACCCCAAGCAGGATCTACAATCCCTCAATGAAGTTTACGAAAAGCATGTGGCGCTCTTCAATTTCACGAACAAAAACAGGTATTTACCTCTGAACGAAAAGAGGAAATGGGTGATGGACAAGCTCAGGGAAATGGAAAGCATACCTGGCACAGATCCGGACGTCTCTTACCACAAAAGAGGTAGGTACACAGTCATGATTCTGTGCGTCGATCCCTCTTATGCCCAATTCTTGATTTCCCTAGGTTCACTGAAGTGCAAAGGCTCGGTAGTCACAATCCAGAGATGGAAACCTCCCAGGGAACCTCAGGCGGAAGCTTCCAGACATAGGCAGACGATGCTCCGAAACCACTTCTGGGTGCAGTTTGACAACCTGTCTGAAGGAATGCACAACTTCATCAAGAAAAGGTTGCAGGAGGAATTTCCCAACAACCTCATCATAGACTGGCTACCAGCCAACCCGGACTTCATGGCACCCAACCATGACTCGAGAGTGGCATACCTCGAGGTATCCTCAGGCACGACGTTGAATTTCCCAGACATGTGGATCTTCCGGAAGAATGGCAAGGGCATCACAATCTTCATCTCCACCAAAGCGACCCCTACTGTTTTCGCTGCAGAAAAAAAGGACACTTGGGCATGCACTGCCCGCAAATGGGAGAAAAGGGAAGAAAGACAGTTCTCCGACAATTATTATTTGTTGAATGCGACGTTAAACCAGGGGTATGGTACATCAACGATGCTCAGTTCAGGGGCTGGATTTTCAACGATAACCTCAAAAATCCCAAGTGGATTTGGGTCCTGCAGGGGGAACCCAAGTTCAAACCGGACATCTACCCCCCCTACGACAGCAGATGGAGGTTTGTAGGAGCCAAGCGAATGGAAGGCAGAAACACAGGTTTCCACATGGAACAGGTAATCTACGAAGCAGGACTGCACGATGAAAAGCAAAGACTGGAATCAATGAAGTAAATGCACGAAATTGGGCCGAACACGGAGAAGGCCTACCTGGAAAATCTAAGGGCCAGAACAGTCCAGGAACCGCAGTCGGATTCAGTGTGCTCTACCCTAAAATCCGCAGCTTCCAAAACTAGAGAAGAGGATAGCCTCCATATCGACGGATCTCTGAAGCGCGAACCCGAAGAATTAGAAAGGGAAACATATACTAGCGCTACGGGGAAAAGAAAACAACAGTCGGTAGGACTGGCAAGTGCCCTACCAGCAGATATGGAAACGGATGGAAGTGAACATTCCAAGCAATCCAACAATGTGCAGGGAGAAGGCAGAGTGCTGCCAAATGTCAAAACAACAACAATCAGGGAGGATTCTTCCCAGCGCGACAAAGCGGCAGGCCTGGAAGAAGGGGAGGAGGACATGGACTGCTCCCTAACCCCAGGAAGGGGTAGAAAAAGGGATAGAGCAGAGGAAAACGCATCCCAGTCCTCCAAGGAAGAAGGTGAAAAACAGTCTGAAAAGGACGACGAGGGATCAAATGATGAGTGGAAGGAGGACGACGAGGGATCAGATGATGAGTGGAATGAGGACGACGCGGATATGAAGGAGGATGACGAGGATTCCTTGGAATACGTACATCAGTACGTCAGATCGCTGGAGAGGGCAAGGACAGTGGAATTCGAAGTAAGACTGACCCATCACAAACACCGCCGAAATCTCAGAGCAGTGACGACAGCGGCCAATGACATATGCACGAAAAATAGGTTTGAGTTGCCGGAGACGGAAAGGGAGATCAATGGATTTTATGCAGCACAATTCGGGCTGAAAACGAAGGTAGAAAATGATGAAATCCAAGTGGATCTAAGCAGCTATGCACAACACTTCGAATGGTCCAAATCCTACGAGGAGAAATACGCAGAAAAGAGAGTCAAAAAGCAAAGGAACACAACAGGTAACTCAAAGACAGAGGAACAAACGGATCAGACCACATCGGACTCAGAATCGGTGGATGAACTCAACAGACAGACAACCATTCTCGAAGCACAGGTCAATGCCCTGCGGGATCAGAACAGGGAATTAGATGAGAACTGTCTAAATCTCAAAGACATTGCCACAGGGTACAACAGGGAAATAGAGGCAGCGGCCAGACTCGACACTCGTTCCAATCCCAAACGGCGTACAATAATCCCGTACAGATGGAACAACAAATACGAAACCTGGGAAATTGCATACCATAAATCCATGGCCCTGCTAACAGTCATAGACCAGGACTGTACGCAACAACACCTAAAAGAGAGGATATCTGATGCAGTCCTATCTAGAGCGCACATTCTGGGAACCAAGAAGGAAGCAAGAGAAGAATGGAAGGACCAGGAGGGCAGTTTGATGTGGGCAGATCTCAGACCCATGATTCTATAACTTGAGGAAAAGGCAACTCTTAACGACGACCTGTGTTGGGTTCCATGGCAGGTAGTGGAAGCAATACCCTATGGACTGCTAGGGGGGAACTGAGTCGCAGAAAGAGCAGCCTTCAGCCGCTCGTTAGTCACAGCGTATGGCATTTTCCAGATGTCACCTAGGCAGCTTGGAATGAAGTTGATGGGGTCAATTTCAACTGGGAGGGACATAGGCCCTACTAGCTCTTAAACGGCGCTGGTAGCATGGGAATAGTCACGGGATCAAGTTGACTGGGACAATGGGGGACTCCAACAGGAGCGTGCAAGCACCCCCCATACACATAAAGTTTGGTCTCCGCAAAAGAGAACCGAATCTGAAGATTATCTCGTGGAATGTAAACGACATATCCTCACTCCTCAGTAATCAAAGCAAGTGGGATAACATAACAAAGGCCTTCAATTGGTTTGGCAGGTCACCCCCGGACATACTATGCATTCAGGAAACTCACTTGACGCAATCACAGGAGCACAGAAAACACAGAACCAGATAATTAAAAAACTCCAATGGGTGAAAGAAGCGATCACAGATTACACAATTATAAATGTTGAGGGACGTTGGACCCGATTTACAGCAGGTATTGCTCCCCACCAATAGATGGAGCCTCCCCGAGCACGTTAGTGGTGTCTGCTCTTATCAGCACCCCTAACATCCACTCGGGTTGTTTTCTCCAAAAAAAAAAGAACAACAAAGAAGCGATATGGGCCCCTTCTCATCTTCCTCACTCTGCAGGAGTGGTCATACTGCTACATGCCAAAGCCAGGACTACTTGTAGGATACCTATACAATCAGCAGACATTGACATCACGGAAGGAAGATGGGCGAGCATAAAATTTCAATTCCTAGAAGACCAATTTCAAATCCTCTCCATCTACTGCCCTAACACATTACCTCAAAGAAGGGAGTTAATCGATCAACTAGCCCCAAAATGTGACCCCCATAGGCACCTACTCCTAGCAGGTGATTGGAATACTGCGCTTGACCCAACAATGGACCGCCTCTCGGGAGGGAGCTCCCTAACAGAGAATGCAGCATGGAGCGAAGCACTCCCCATCCACGACATAATGACGGAAAAGAATCTACTAGATCCGTACAGGGCCATATACCCAGACAGTAAAAAAATCACATATCTAAAAAGGAATAAAAGTCAACACATCTCGGCCTCCAGAATAGACTATTTCCTAATTTTAGAATCACTGTTAGGATCAGTACACAGCCTAGCAATAAAGGGTCTACCCCTCTACCCGGGCCTAGACCACAAACCCATCACACTTAATCTCAACATAGGAAACAACCCAGGTGGAGGGAATTTTTTTTTTTTAATTAACAACTCGATCCTCAACACACTTGAAATTAGGGAGGCAGTATTAAGAACGTGTATGGACCACGACCTCACCAACCTAGACTTCCCTGAGATGGTCACAACACTATCCGAAGCCACAGCAAAAGCATCAAGGATACTGGCTAGTAAAAGAAAACTACGGGAAGATGAGTTTCAACATATCATAAAACTAGCAGAAAGCAACCTCATCTTCCACCCACGTTCTTCCCTTTACGAGAGAGCACTGGAGCAAGCCAGGCACGAAATGGCCAAATGGGAAGAGTGGAGGAGCAAAGGTCTGAGAATGGGAGCAAGCGTGAAAGAATGGGAGGAAGGAGAAAGAATGACCAAGTACTTCTTTCACAAAATTCAATCTAATGCCAACAATGCAAGCATCAACCAACTACAAACTGACCAGGGTTTTTTCTTCAGATCCACAGTTAATGCTGACAACGGCAACAACTTTCTTCAAGAACCTCTATACCTCAAAGGAACAAGATTTCTCTCAGCAAGAAACAACACAGGCCAAAAACAAATTTCTCACGTACCTGGATAAAACAATCACAACGAAACAGGCCACAACTTTGGACGCCCCAATCACAGAACAAGAGCTATTTGAAGCCCTGCATTCCATGAAGCCCAACAAAACACCTGGAATTGATGGTCTGTCCAAGGAATTCTGGTTAGCATTATGGCCAGTGTTGGGCTCGGGATTCTTCCAATTCCTCGGGAAAGCCTGGGAGAAAGACACATTGGGGAACAATTAAGTACAGGAGTCGTCTCCCTCCTATATAAGAAGGGGACCCAACGGACATAAGGAACTATAGGCCACTATCCCTACTCAATGTGACATATAAAATCCTAGCGAAACTGTTAGCTAACAGAATAAGAACAATAACAAGGAATTGCTTTCATCTGGACCAAACCTGCTTCATTCCAGGATGGTTCATACTAGACAATGTATTGACTCTAACGGAAACTGTCAGATACATACAGGACAAAAGGATGAATGTCGCCATCTTGTTCTTCAATTTCGAGAGAGCCTACGATCAAGTGAATTGGAATTTCCTATAGCAAAGCATGGAAAAAATGGGCGTGGGACCCAACTTCAGGAAGTGGGTGAAGATCCTCTATGCTCATGCCCATGGAAGAGTCCAAGTCAATGACCACATATCACAACCTTACCGAATGTCACGTTCAGTACGCCAAGGGGACCCGTTAGCAGCCCCAATTTTCCTGTTCATTATTGAAACCATTGCGTCCTTCCTAAGGAAAGAGACCTCAATAGAAAGACTATTGGAGGATAACCAACACTCACCGTACGTCCCAACCACAATCCTCTTCGTGGATGACTTGACTGTCCTGATAAGGTATTCTGACTCCTCGTTCGAAGTGCTAACCTGGGCAATGCAAGCATTCCAAATTGCCTCCGAAATGAAAATCGACTGGTCCAAAACTATAGGATGGTGGCTAACAGATCCCCAAGTCAATACCCCCCAAAATACACTAGAAGGAATGAATTGGGCTAAAGGCAACGACCCCCTAAAAAAAAAAAAAAAAAAAAAAAAAAAAAAAAAAAAAACCCCCCAAAAAAAAAAAAAAAAAAAAAAAAAAAGGCAACGACCCCCTGAGATTTTTGGGAATCCGAGTTTCCAAATCAGGACCAAACCACTCAATGCCATCATGAGCAAAATGATAGCCAAATTGGGCAGCTGGTCCAGAGTCTATACTTCAATCTTCGGGAGAGCTCTGATCCTAAGCGCCTCCATCTTCTCAATGCTATGGTACACCTCAACCATTTGCACACCTATCGAACAGGCGAGATTGCAACTGCGGAGAAAGGTAACTGCATATCTGTGGACAGGGGACCCTTCTAAACCCCACTTCATCTCCAAGGTGGCTTGGAAGTACGTCACCCAACCGAGAGCAAAAGGTGGCCTCAGAGTGCTCGACCCAGAGATCCAAATAAAAGCTCTACAGACTAAATGGATTTTAAAAATTTTAACAAATAACAACCTGCCCTGGATCGAGCTGGGCCTCCGAAGAATTAACCAGCTCACAAAGGTCAAAACGCCCAATAATATGAGAGGTCTGTTTTGGGTAATGTCAAAATCTTGGACCCTGGAATCCACCACCAAAAATCTTGGGGCAGACGTGCCAGAGGGGAGACAAACCTGGAATTTTTGGGGAAATCTTATAGTAACCTGGAGGGAAATATTCCCAGCAAAGGTAAGGGAGCCAAAGTCCAAGGAGGAAGTTCTCCGTCAACCCATATTCTGCAACCAGAGGATCCTAGTTCCCAGGGCAAACCACACTCACAGCAACTGACCTTAAGTGGAAGTCATGGGTAGAAAAAGGAATATGGCAAATCAAGCATCTCTAGTCTCAATCGGAAGGGAGATGGAAAACGGCGGGGGAACTGAGACAATCCTTGAAAGGATGCCATAATGTATAGGACAACCTCAATAACATCCTAATCTCAATTCCGGACAATTGGTTAACCCTCCTGAAAAGCCCCTTCAAATGGTCACCCGGGGATTGGTTAACAAACACAGAGGACTCCTCCCTGAACACGGCCTACCTACTACGTTCAAGGGAAGGTCCCAGGAACAACTGGCTCATCTGTGACATGTACACTATCGAGGACCCAGGCGCTACCACAAGCCTATTAAGCAAGAGCCCAACAGGGGAGATAGCGCTCCCAAAGAACACAGTATGGAAGGTTAGGGTGGTGGAAAATGATAAGCACAGAATCTACAGCCCCACAACAAGCATACAAGACTTAGAATTTGACCCAGCTGAATGGGCATGGAAACGAAGAACAGGAAGACTCGCAATAGAAAAAAGAACTACTATCTTAGAGTATACCACCAAATTAGGATGCACACTAAGGATGAGATCTCACCGGTAGCGCAGGTCATCAGCCGGAGATGGGATGCACACCTCAACCTACCCCAAAGCAGATCTCAGATCAGATCATGGGAAAAACTTCTGGCCATCACTTCAACTAGGATAAGAAGCTTCCAATGGCAGTTAGCTTACTTGGCACTACCAGTCAATCAATGGCTAAACAAAAGACGCAGCCTACAAACAAGATCACCAACACAAGAACTATGTGTCATTTGCCAGGAAAAAGCAGTAGAAAACGTGAACCACTGCCTCTTAACCTGTCACAAAGCAACGCAATTATGGACAAGAGCAACTGAACTGTGGAATTCAATCACGGACAAAACTCTACCAAACGATCCAGCTACCGTGCTCCTAGGACTTCACACACCTACTACTTGGCAAAGTTTTGAACTTTCACTCTATCACATTTTGAGACTGGCCACACTGTTGTCAATCTGGAAGCGCAGATGTCAAGAGACCATCGACAACTTGCCGATGGCGGCCCAAGAAGCTTGGGAAGGATCACTGCAGCCAATAGAGACAGCGTACAGAGGACACTGGAAAAAAACCTACAAAAAAATCAAGCGAGATATAGAAAACAAAGACAAAATCATCAAAGACTTCAAGAAAAAACAACTAGGAGACGGGAAAATTGCGACAATAGGAAAGGACTGTATTAGGTTTGGGCAGTGGAGAGGTAGCGGCCAAGCTCAACCACACATTGCAGAGACGCCAAGAAGCAGATCTCACCTCACAAACTTTGCATTGAACTCAGGATAGAGTCCCCATAGTTCGAACATTGCCCACCCCACATTAACACTGCACAGCCCGAGCTCACTCATCCAGTCCGACAATCAAAGTCTAATCCCCAGCCAGCCAAACAAGGAAAAGCCTTGGACAATACAAGAACCAGGGACCAAGTCGGAGGCTTTCCCAACCTTGACTGATGGCGGCCCAAGGTTGGGAAAGCCTCCCACTCGCCGAGGCATTACAAGTACAACTCAGACCAAGCGTGAGCAACAGGTAGGGCCAAAAAGGGCAAGGGATAGCCCCCGCCAGGGGAAGTAAAATAGTAAATTTTGGATATCAGACGACCAGGATAGTTTAGGGTCTAGGGTTTAGGAGAAGGCAAAGGGCAGAAATGGCACCAAAGATAAGTGTTGAAGGACCCGGC